AATTTCAGCATCCATTCATGTTAAAAACCCTCAACAAACTAGGCACTGAAGGAACATACCTCAAAATAATAAGAAGTATCTATGAGAAACCCACAGCCAACATATACTGAATGAGCAAAAGCTGGAAGCATTTTCCTTGAGAACTGGAAAAAGATGAGGATGCCCACTTTCAACACACTACTGAAAGTCTGGGAGAGAACAATGAGGCAAAAGAAAGAAATAAAAGGCATCCAAATAGGAAGAAAGGAAGTCAAACTATCTCTGTTTACAGACAATATGATTTTATACATAGAAAACCTCATAGTCTCTGACAAAAACCTCCTAGGTCATATCAACAACTTCAGCGAAGTTTCAGGATACAAAGTCAATGTACAAAAATCAGTAGCATTTCTATACATCAATAATGTCCAAGCTGAGGACCAAATAAAGAATGCAATCCCATTCACAATAGCCACAAAGAGAATAAAATACCTGGTAATACAGCCAACCAGGGAGATAAAAGATATCTGCAATGAGAATTAAAAAACACTGCTGAAAGAAATCAGAGATGATACAAACAAATGAAAAATCATTCCATGCTTGTCGGTAGGAAGAATCTATATTGTTAAAATAGCCATATGGCTTAAAGCATTTTATAGATTCAATCCTATTCTTATCAAACTACCAATGACATTCTTCACATAATTAAAAAAATTATTCTAAAATTCATATGGAACCAAAAAAGAGCCCACATAGCCAAAGCAATCTTAAGCAAAAATACAAATCTGGAAGCATCACATTAGTTGACTTCAAACTATACAAGGCTACAGTAACCAAAAGAGCATGGTACTGGTACAAAAACACACATATAGACCAATGCAACAAAATGTAAAACCCAGAAATTAAATCATGCGCCTACAGCCATCTGATCTTTGACACTGACAAAAACAAGCAATGGAGGAAATACTCCCTAGTCAATAAATGGTGCTAGGACTGCTGGTTAGTTGTGTGCAGAAGATAGAAACCAGACTCCTTCTTTACACCATATACAAAAATCAACCCAAAATGGATTAGAATTAAATGTAACAACTAAAACCATAAAAGCCCTCAAAGAAGACCTAGGCAATACCATTGTAGATATGGGCCCTGTCAAAGATTTCATGATGAAGACATCAAAAGCAATGGCAACAACAATAAAAAATGATAAATCACACCCAGTTAAACTGAAGAGCCTCTGTACGCAAAAGAAACTATCAATAGAATAAAGAGACAACCCACAGAATGGGAAAAATATTTGCAAATTAGGCATCTGACAAAGTTTTAATATCTAGAATCTACAAGACCCTTAAACAAATTAACAAAAACCAAACAATCTCATTAAAAAGTAGGCAAAGGATATGAACAGATACTTTTCAAAAGAAGTCATGCACGTGGTCAAAAAGCATATGAAAAAATGCTTAACATCACTAATCATTAGAGAAATGTTAGTGAAAACCACAATGAGATACCATCTTACACCAGTCAGAATGGCTATTATTAAAAAGTCAAAAATAAGAGTGCTGGCAATGTCACAAAGAAAAGGGAACACATACACTGTTGGTGGGAATGTCAATTAGTTCAGCCATTGTGGGAAGCAGTTTGACAATCCCTCAAAGAACTTAAGACAGAACTACCATTTGACCCGGCCATCTATTATTGGGTATATATCCAAAGAAATATAAATTGTTCTGCCATAAAGACACATGCATGCATATGTTTCTCACAGCATTATTCACAACAGCAATGCCATGGAATCAAATGCCCATCAATGGTATATGAGATAAAGAAAATGTGGTACATATACACCACATAATACTATGCAGCCATAAAAAATGAGATTATATCCTTGGCAGCAGCAACATGTATGGAGCTGGAGGCCATTATTCTAAGCAAAGTAACACAGGAACAGAAAACCTAACACCACATGTTCTTATTTATAAATGGGAGCTAATATTGAGTACACATGGACACAAAGAAGGGCACAATAGACACTGGGGCCTACTTGAGGATGGAGTTTGGGAGGAGGGTGAGGATCAAAAACTACCTGTTGGGTACTATGCTTATTGCCTGTGTGATGAAACAATATGTACACCACACCCCTGTGACACACAATTTATCGATAGAAACAATCTGCCCCTGTACCTCTGAAACTAAAATAAAAGTTTAAAAAATCAAAACCTTTGCCTTTCAACATATACCAGTAAGAAAATGAAAAGACAAACGACAGACTTGGAGCAAATATTTTCAAACTACATATCTGATAAAAGACTTGTATATAAGCAAATCTCCATAGTAAGGAAGCAAATAACCTAATCAGAAATGGGCAAAATATGTAAGGAGGCATTTCTCCAAAGAACATATACAAATATCTAACAAGCAAATAAAAAGATGCTCAATTAGCCATTAGGGAAATGTAAATCTAAACCATAATGAGATACTACTCCACACCCACAAGAATAGCTACACATAAAAAACAAAACAAAACAAAACAAAACAAAAAACGGGGAAATAACAAATGTGATGATGAGAAGAAATATACTGCTGATGGTTCATGTAAATCTAATGACTGTAAAATAGTACAGCCCCTTAGGAAAACAGTTTGGCAGAAAATGAAACATATAGTCATAATATGACCAAGTAATTGCACTCATAGGTGTTTAACCAAGAGAAATGAAAACGAATGTACACCAAGAAATTTGTACACAAATGTTCATAGCAGCTTTGTTCACAGTAGCCAAAAGACAGAAACAATCCAAATGTCCATCAACTGATGACTAGATAGACAAAAATGTAGTATACTAATGCAATGGAATATCATTCATCTATAAAAAGTATTTCTATATGCCACAACATGAATAAACTTTGGTGACATTATTTAGATGAAATGTTCAGGATAGGGAAATGCATAGGCATGGAAAGTAGATTAGTGGTTGCCTGATGCTGGGAGTAGTAATGAAGATTGACTGCAAATGGGCAAGGAAGATGTCACTGATGTGATGAAAATGATCTAAAATTAGATTATAGTGATGGTCGTACCACCCAATAAATTTATACAATCACTTTAAATATGTGAATATTAGGGCACATAAATTATCTAAATATGTTTTGAAAACACATTGAGCATCAAGCAAGAAAAAAAGAGAACGTTCATCTCTTTGACAATTTATTAGGGATTATACAGAGGTCATTAGGCTGTTTGTTGTTTTTGCTGTGGTGGTGGTGGTGATGGTAAGGGTTGTGGCTTTCCCATGAGAGCCAAGGGTCAAGCAACCATTTGGTCTTTTAAAATAAAAATGTTTAAATCAATTAAAAAAGAATGTTGCTGGCTTGAAATTTGGAGTAGTCATAGGGGCAAAGAGAAGTGGAGGGATTTTTTCAATATTCAGGATATACAAATGACAAAATTTTGTAGTGGTTAGATATATAGGCAAAGGGGAAAGGTGAGGAGGCCTGAGACTGAGTATGGTTAAAGTTGAATTCCTGTTGTCCTCCTAAACTGGCTGTCCTCCCGCGCTGCCAATCTCTGTGAATGGATCGGCATCCTGATACAGAGTTGGCATTCATTGATTCCCTTTGGAATGAATGAATAGAGTATGATGAATAGAGTAAAAATATGGCTAAACAAGGCAGACACTAGGTTCTGCCAAATAGCCAGTCCTAAACTCACCCTTAAGATTGGCTCAGCAGACGTCCAGCACAATTTTCTTCTTACTTTTCCAACTATTTTGGAAATCATGAAGTCTCCCTCATCCAGAAGAACACTCACCTTCCTATCAGCCATTCCTTCCCTATAACCTATAGGTACCGAGCAGGCTGGGTTTTTTCAAGAGCCTCTTATCCTGTAAATTTTTACACATGGCAATGGCAGGTATATGTACAGCCCATATGAGCATGGGGAATGCTTAGTGTTATAGAAAGGGGATTACAGTGATTCCCAGCTGATGGATCTATGTTCAGTTTGGCTCCAAGCAGGAAGAGTCTCTTCCCACCAAAGAGGTTTATTAACCCGGGGGTCCCCCTCCCAGCACCTGGAGGGAGAAAACACAGCTGTCACAAACATTGTAAACATTGAGTGATCTGCTTGGCTGGTTTAACTGTTGTTTCCAGGATTGACAAGCAGAAATACAGAATTAATCGTGGTTCCTGATACAGAAGCCAAAACAAGGAAGTGATCTGTTGCAGTCCAAGCTTCCAAGAAATAAAAAACTAGGTGGGGCACACTAAACAAGCCCCCAGACTTAACCACCCCAGTGAACATTCCCTTCATCATACTGGTTATGAGATAAAGTATAAGTTTTTTAAGCCTTATGATAAATAACCATACTTATATCTTCTACTTCTGTGAAAATTATAGTATTTATACATAATATATGCATAATATATGATCATATATTATGATCACTGTTATCATTATCACCAGTTCCTTAATAAGAAGGAAATAGAAGTTGATACCAAAATGTTCATCCATAATGTTTATAGTTTTGTCTTTATAGTTAACTTAATGTAAAATAAATTGTATGTAATTTTTACTACAGTGTGTCCTGAAAGGGCAAACCAAGCTACAAGCAACTCTAAAAGACTACCATATGGAAGTGAATTATGAAAGTGTTTCTTAAATATGAGAGCTCAAGTTTTTCTTTCAGTGACTAAGTTAAAGCAACCAACTCACTTATCATGAGACTTTTGTTAGGCAGTGTACTATGTCCACTCAACTCACATCATTTTAGGCAATCATCTGGTTAAAATGTTTAATTAAGTAAGGCATTCACAAATGCATTCTTCAGAGTTGACATTCAATTAATAGGTTGAATGTCCTTTCCAGGGCAGTCAGGAGTATTTAAAGGCTTTTCAACTGTCTTCGAAAGAAAAAGAAAACTTCCTAGCCTAATTTACCCAGCGCCTTGCTCCAGAGGGGCAGACAAAGGGTAAAATCTGGGCAGAGAACATTAGTGGATATGAGAACGAAAGAAAGTGCTGCAAGATCTTGCAGACAGCTAAGTTGCACCTTCCACTCTACCGCCGAACAAAGTAAGGCAGGGAGAGGGTAGGGACTGGCTGAAAGGTAAACACCAAGTCAGTGACAGATCCTGGGCTGTAAAGTTCGACCGAGATTGAAACAATGTACACTGGGCGTCAGTCACAAGGCGAGCTTGCTCCAGCTCTTCCAGCTCTTCCTGAGCGCTAGGCCCATCTGGCCTCACGCTGATCTCCGGGCAGACTCTGTCGCACAACTGGCACAGATCGTGACGACAGCCCTGCGGCAAAGCAGGAGTGGCCTTCTCCTCCGCCAGGGTTAAGGTGAGTACCACCACCTTTGGGCCCAGCAGCCCAGGTGGGAGCCTCCGCCGCCCACTGCGACAGGCCTGAAAGCGAGCGCCTGGGCAAACCCAGCCGTAGCACCCATCCGGGACACCCCTTCCCCGACCCATGGGACGGAACCCACCTGCGCTGGAGGTCGTGACTCCTAACTCCGCAGAGCGGGCAGAATTCCAAGCAAGGAGAGCCTCGGGAAGCAGCCTTTCACCCGCCTTTTGCTTCCCCCACCCCCACGTTCCCCTCCCCCAGCCTGTTTGGACCCAGCAGAGAGCCTCTAGGCCACGCCCCACTCCTTCCGGCCGTGCGGGGTGGGTGCCTCTGGCGTCCCGGACTTCGCCCGGTGTTAGGGCGTCAGTCCCCCCTGCAGAAGGATTGGGCTGGGGCACTCTACCATCGCCTTTATTGAACACATGTGAAGCCATGAACGCAGGGATGACAAAAGGCCCATAAAGCTATACTGCATGTAAAACCTGGGTCGCCTTCCTGCCATTGCAGTGCTCCTCCCCAGTCCCCCAATACACTTCTATTTATGGTGGTTTATCGAGGTTTGCTAGAACTAAAATTCTACTACCTTTCCACCACTTTCTTGAGTTTATGGACGTCATATACTGCTCATTACTTTACTCCCATTGATTCAGCTGAGTATCTTAAACCCAGGGTCCAGCTATAGTGCTACACACAGTGAGCACTAGAAGGCAATAAGCCATTAGTAGTGAATGCATAAAAAATTAAGAACAATGTATATTACAAAGAACAACCAAAAACTATACTGCAATAATATGTGCAATGGAAATCCAAGGCAGAGGAAAAAAAAAAAATTGGAGAGTAAGAACAACAACTAAAAATCAAATGCATATATACTGAAAATGGGAAATTCTGCAGTGTTTATTCGAGATTAAAAGTATTAACCTAACGTCAAAAAAGCAATAAAGGAATTGATTTGTAAAAGTCAGGATCAACAAAAGAAAAAGCTTCTGCACTTTTGCCCTGGAATTCCTTCTGCCATGAATGCTCTTGTCCCCCACTTGTTTATTTGGAAAACTACTCATTATTTTTTACTCAATTTGGATAGTACCTCCTCTGTGAAGCCTTCTGTCTTTCCCAGATAAGTTTGTATTATTTTTTTCCCTGGGTCCAGTGTGCCCAATGGATCTCATACAGGCCTCAAAAGTACCACTTATTCTGGATTATAATTTCTCTTTCTGCATGTCTTTGACCTCTAATGAATAAGTAGCTTCATGAGAGCAGAAAACTTGTATTTGTCGTACTTGTTCTCCACAACCAGAGCCTAACATGTCTATATATTTAATAAATATTTGTTGAAAAATTTCTAGAACCAGTTTATAAACAAAAGGACATCCAGAGTGTGAATGTAACATAAAGAGGAAAAACTAAATAAAATGAAAATCTAGATTTAGTCTGGCTGGTATTCATTCATGCAATAAACATTAATGAGTGCCTACTGTATGCCAGGCACTATACTAAGCTCTGGGTGTAAAATGATAAACAAAGCCCAGATATAGCCCATGCCCTTATGCCCTTATGTTTACAGAACAAATGGGAGTTGGCCATGCAGGTGGGAAAATGAAAAAAAAAAATGTTAGGCAGAAAGAACAGCATGATCCAATGTCCTGTAACAGGAAGATCATAACTGTAGCAATTAGAGTTAATGAACTCAGTAAAGGTAAGCTGAAATCAACACAAAGTATCCAGAAAACTGAAGAGGTTGATTGATATGCAACACCTGTTTGAGTCAGTTAAAGAAAAAGGTTTCCTTAATGATAGTAACCAACATTTTATAAAATGTGCACTATAGGCTAAACACTGGGCTAAGTGTTTTACAATAAACATTTAAGGTATATCATTATTTGTACCTGAAGGGTAAGGTTACTGAGGCACAGATAGGTTAAGCAATTTCACCAGAATCACATGGCAGTTAAATTTCGGAGCTGAGATTCAAGCCTAGAAAATCTGGCTCCAGACTCTAGGGAGTCTGGATATTTTACTTTCAATAAAATATAAATTTTACTTGTAATAAAATAAAAGGCAGATATTTTACTGTTTCCCATGTGTGTCTATGTGTGTGTGTGTATCAGGTCACATGATGTATGGCACAGACTGGAACTTCTTAATATTTTTGGAATGAATGAATAGCTGAATAAAAACAATAGGTACAAATGTGCCAGAAAATAAAATAGAAAACAGTAGTATCTGGGTCCTTTTATGTTTCAGCCACACCAGCTGTTCCTAGAACATACCAAACTTGTTCCTGTTCTGTTTCCAAAATATAATCTGCTCATGTATTTGTCCCTGACTGTACTGCTAACATTCAGGATCAGAGTTCGGCAATTTTTTTTTTTTCTGTAAAGGGTCAGCTAGTAAATATTTTAGGCTTTTTGAGTTACAAACAGTCTCTGTCTCCAAGTATTAAATTCTGCCTACATAGAGTGAAAGAAGTCACAGACAATACATAAATGAATGAGTATGTAAGTATGTTCCAATAAAAGTTTATTTACAAAAACAGGCAAGAGGCAGGATTTGCCCTGTGGGCAGTAATTTTTAGATCATTTCTCTAGGCCAAATTATTGCCATCTCTTGCATGGACTACTGTATTAAATGATGTCTGAGAGCCATCATCTTTGACTAACACTTACACCTTGTTTTTTTTTAATTTTTAATTTTTTTTTCTGTTACACCTTGGTATTATCAGCATCTTAATGAAGCTTTAGTGCTGTCTAGTCTTATTTATAACCTTGAGTTCTTGACATGTGGTTAAAACTGTGTGTTAAGTGTGATTTTGAACTTTGATTTGTCAAAGATGGTCTTTAAAAGAACTAACTACTAGTGATCTTTGAAGGAGTTTAAAGAAATAAAGAAGGAAAATTAATTTAAAAAATAGTGACTTTTAGCCAGAAAATAAATATTCCGGACACAGTGCAATGTTGAATTTGGCTGAAGCTTTGGTCTATGAGAAGAATTCTGCTATATACTCTATAGAGATACAAATAAATGCTAAAACTTTTCAGAAATCAGCTAGACCATGTAAAATTTTCCTCACCTACTCATGTACAAAAATTTGGTAAAGCTGAAGGTTATATTCATTTGTGTCTGGGGATGTGAACATTTCTGACTCTGGGGATATGAATGTTTCTGACTCTCAACAGAAATGTGATTCAGTATAAACTTAGTAACCTGTACAATTAATTTTGCGGTGAAGAAGTATTAGTTAGGACTCATTTGTTAAAAGTTGCCAAAACCTACCTGAAACTAACAAGCAAAAGAGAGAAATGTATGGGAAGATAATAAGGTGTTTCACAGAACTCAAGAAGGATTGGAACAACCAAAACTTTTTAAAAGGCAAGATACAGTTATGTCTCAAGAATGGTCAAAACCAAGGATTCGAATGACATTGACTCTATCATTCTTTTATCCCTATTCTTCCCTGCACATTTATCTGGTCTGTCTCTCTCTCTCTCTCTCTCTCCTTCTCTCTTTCTCTCTCTCCCTCCCTCCCTACTCACTTTCTCCCTTCCTTTCCTCCCCTCTCCCCTCAAGCTTTATTTGTTTCCTAAGTCCATGTAACAGTAGATATGGTTACTGACACCTTCCTAGATTTTCATATTACAGCTTCATCCACTGAAGAGAGACACTAAACCAGATCAGGTCCTGTGAAAAGCAGATGTCGAGATGGAGTTACAAATCTAGAGATCTACCATGGGTAATGGCTGGAAAGATAAAGAGGAGATTACAATACAGTTCTATGGAAGTCTCAACCACCCCAACTAGGAGCTCCAGAACAGAGACTGCTGATTAGAGGAATCCTACGTTAGGCAGAAGCAGCCCGAGTACACCTCTTGTGCTCAGAGATTAACTGGAGACGCCTGGGAAGGGAATGGCCTTGGATCAAATGATGCAAAAATATCTCAAAAGTGCTCCAGCTGGAGACTGTTAGCTGACTCCACTCCTCATGGTAGGTTTCCTCTTGAAAGATCTGAGAGGCGCTTCCTGGTTGCCATAGGCCTTTATGGTCCCATCTCCATAAATCTGTGAGGGATTTATTTGCCAAGTTTGAGTCTGGTGGTCATCCAAGAGCAATCAACCGTAGCTAGGTAAGTTATGTCATATGTAACAAAGGATAATATTTTTCAGTTTGCCTGGGCTGAGGAATTCTCTGGGATGTGCTAAAACCATAACAGTCCTGGGCAAACTAGGATAGTTAGTTATTTTAGTAGTACCCATGTTAATAGGGGTAGAAAAGTTAAAACCATCCAATAATATTCTACTATATACACAATTGTACATTACTGCATTTTATGGAGGAAATTCTATATGTAGTGATTTTATTGGATTAGGAGATTTTATAAAGGTCTCAGGAAAATTCCCTTGATGATGACAAAGGTTGCATACTCTATTTCTTCCATGCTGACTCTCTTGTGAATTTATACATTCTTCCTCCAGCTAGAATTCTCCTCTCACTGAAACCTCCCTCCCCTCACCCTTGTCGTAACTGTTAGAAATGTTTCTTACCCGTTGCTCTGGTTTCCACATGGAATTATTTCTCTAAAATAAGATTAAATCATATAAAGAATGCCAAGCACCTATCTTAGGACATGGCATAAAACAGGGGCTTGTATCAGTCAGGTTCTTAGTTACATGCAACAGAAGCTGAATCTGACTGATTTAAGCAGAAAAAAAAAAAGTTATGTTGGGAATGACACTAGACTAACACTCCTGCCATTAGAAAAATCATGAAACTGCATATAATATGCAAGGAAACTGTTTCAAGATATTGAGCAATAGTCAGCACATGATTATGATCCCCAGGAAAAGAGAAACTCACACATTAAGCCCCAAGACTGCCTCAGCTCTTTTCCTGGGGACAATTTTCTGATCCCAGCATCAAGAGCTGGATTCCAAGCTGAGCTTTCAGTCTCATTGAATGGAGAAGGCAAAGATCAGAGTTCAGGGTAGTTGAAGCAGCT